CTGCACCTTCTGTGTTATATTAGCCTCACCTCTGTATACCCTAAATTCTTTAAGAAGTCCCATTATTACCTCTCAGAGTATAATTAGTTTGGGAAGGAGAGAGTAAACATGGGAGGTGTCCTCTGCAAAAACAATTTTATTCACTTTGTTTTAAAGAAAGTTTCCAAGATACAGACATTCTTCTCATCCTCTTCCCTGTACAAAAACAGCAACTCTCGAGTGAGTTAGTTTCACTTTAGAAGGCTGTTTATTGTTTATCTCGTGCAGGCTGTTCTTTAAAGACGTGGACAACCTGCTCAAGCATGCAGAGGAAGTTGTAGCCCTAGAAGTAAAAGTTAGCTGGTGTTAGATGTGTCGTGCTCTCTTCGAGTCAGAAAGGGGAATTTTTGCGACGAGTAATTTACGCAACTTCCATTTGTGACACAGTTTGTAGAAGTACATCCTGTTTCCCCAAGCTCATGAACGCAGCAGGGTTTTGGTTTGGTTTTATTAAACCAGCAGAACAGGCACTGTGGCCTGCTGGTTGACAATACACAGCATGTCCAGAAGAAAACTTCATGTTTGTAGTGCTAAGTAAGGAATAATTATTCTCTCTGACCAAACAGATCTTGAAGTAAGCATGTTTGTAAGCATACTTACAAACACACAAAGACGTACCCTAACTACAAGCAGTCTAACAGATGATAATGCAGCAGTATGTTGCTTTTAAGTTGTTTTAGAGCACACAAACAATCTGAAGTGCCATTTGCAGACAGGTGTTTAAAAACAAACAGCAAAATACTTCATATTAAACTCTCAAATTAACAGGTATATCAACAACACACCAGTCCTCTAGTTTGGGTACTCTAATTTGAGAGCTCCATATTACCTGGTGCTTGCATGCCATCGAGCAGGTTAAAGCAGTATCAATAGAATCCTGACTTCCCAGTTAAAAACTAACAAATACAGGAAGCACCCCTACAGAATTAGTGACCTATGTACCTTTAAAAGACCAAGAAAGCAAAACACAAGAACTATCTTCATTAAGCTGCTCTTAAAAAGCAAACAAATAACATTTCTACAAGCATCATGGAGGGAACAATTGCCAGGTTTTTGTTGTTGTTGTTTTAATTTGCTTTAAAGAGAAACCTTACTAAAAACGGGCTTATTAACTGATGCATTATAACCGAATATTTTTGTGCATTTTAGCCAATTGCCATCTCCACCCAACACGGCAGACTCAGCAGAACAGGACAAGCGCTCCCCAGTTCTGTGCAGAACCCAACGCAGAGCAGCTACAACCCACCCACACGCACTGAAGTTTCGGCTCCAGCCTCAACCTCCCCCCAAACAACGAACAAGCTCCGAGGGTGAAAGTTGTCTTGGGTTACGGCTCTGCACGTATCAATGGCTGCGATTAAATAAAGCCAACCTCTAATGGATAAAGACACGTCCAGAACAAGGCTGGTAACCGCAGCCAGAGCGGCTAACGAGGGGCACCGCGGCTCAGAGGTGCGTCCTCACCTCCCAGCCGCGGGTGAATCCCCGAGCCCCGGCCAACGCGGCCCGGGCCTCACAAGCCGGTCGCCCGGCAGCCGTGCGGGCTCGCCCAGAAGCCGAAGGGGCCAGCAGCCCGGCAGCTGTCAGCCGCGATGGCCCGGAGGGGGGGACGGGAGGGGGACACGCCGCACCCCCACCTCCCCCTCCCCACCGTTCTCGCCCACCCCCCCAGCCCCGCACTCGCCTGCCTGGTGCGCAGCCAGCCGGGCCCTGCGGGGAGGGAGGCGGGGAGGGAGGCAGGGAGGGAGACCGGGCGGGAGGGGGCCGGGCCGGGCCGGCCCTGCGCGATAAGCGGCGCCTGCTGCCCGGCCGGAGCCAGCCCGCTCTTACAGCTCGCCACACGTAAGGCTGCAGTCGCAGCACGTTAAATATATGTGAAAATACAAAGCGAAGTGCCGCTGGGGAAGCAGGCGGTAGCTCACCTGCACGCGTGAGGGAAGAGGAGCCTCCCAGTGCCAGTGCCAGGCTGCTCCTGCTCTGCCAGCTGCAGCACGCTGCTGAGCCAGACCTCAAAATGCTTCTCCCTTTGATTTATGGCCTGCTGACAGGGTGAAGGAATAACAGTTATTAATCCACTAAATCATATTTGTCAAACCAAGAAAACCCATGCAAAGATTAGAGCTGACAGTAAATACACAGGCAAAGGTACTTATGCCGAATCACGATAGGCACTGAGCAACCAGTAGATCCAAAGCACGTGTAAGGCCATTTCCTTCTCAGGCTTGACCTTCCCCTCTTGGCACAAAGTTTCTGCATAAGCAAAGCAGCTCGGCTGATAAATAAGCTACTGTAGAAAGATACAAAGAACGGGCAATTTTACCCATTGTGGAGGAGTTCAACTGAAAAATACCACAAAGATTTTCTACTGTCTGCAAGTAAAAAGCAGAAGATGGGGATGAGGCAGTCTGCAGAGTGCTAATTTGAAAAGCATTGTGTGTCCGTCTCCTGGAGCATCCAGGCACATGCACTGCAATCAGATCCCACGCAGCAGTGTAGGAACAGTTTCTGTCTCTGTTCCCCAGTTGTCATTCACCCAACACAATCACATCCACCCCTCCTCGTGGCCAACCAGTAGCAAACACCCTTCATTTGCTTGAACTGCTTGTCCATGCTCTGTGTTATTTTGTGTGCTTTGTTACTTCTGCTTCTAGGAAAGCAACTTCAGTTGCTTTGCTCAGCTTACAGCTGAAGGCTGATAAGCGTAATGTCAATTTACCTCTGTTCTCAGAGATGTTCCTTGCCAGGCAGGAAGGGTGTTGGAGGTGAGGCTGCAGTACTTTAGCACCTGAAACAGAACAACTCCTTCTGCTTGCTTGTGAAAATCCCCACCATTAAACCTGGTCAGTGGCTGCTCCCACATAAATACACAGAATAAAGCCAAAAAGCCCGTCTAGCCAAAAGATATTAATTTCAACAGGACAGCAAACACCTTTTCACGGGTTTTGACAAACACACACTTGCACGGATGCTACTGAAGGGAAAGCATACTGGGAGAGCACACAGTTGGTGTCTTTACAAAAGATGTTCACCAGCAAGTTTTCCACCTGACTTTACACACTGGAAAACTAGCAACTTCCATTATGCTGCTAGAGGACAGAAGCATTGTTTTCAGGTGGGGAGGTGACAAAGGGCTCAGATTAACTGTCCTATAATTACTGTGGTAGGCTGTATTTACACAGGATATTAAACTTTACACGAGTTACAGGTGACAGGGAAAAAAAGTGTTGCTCATCACAGCAATAAGCTGCATTGTTAATTTACAGGCATAGCGTTCTCTTTACCAATGTACACATGGCCTTGCTTTCACAGCTGTGCTGGGGTCATTCATTTCACCACGTGAAACAAAATAGCTCAACCTTATATATTGTCTGACATAGCCATGTTAATGACAGTGCACAATTAATTCCTTCTTTACGTTACTATCTTAGAAACTAATACCTTTGAATGTGTACAGATTTTGAAATTATTCTATATCAAGCTTTAAAGTGATTTGCTGCATTAAGTTGCAAGCCTGTGAAAGCTGAAGTCTGCTGCAACTTTTCTACAGACTGCTCCCCACACTGCTGTTCACATTTGCCAAGCAGCGTGTTTGATTTCCTTTCTTAAGCCCCATGGCTTGACATCATAGAAATAAATGGAAGCACAAACTAGAATGAACAGAAACCCTGAGTTAACAGGTGCGGCCAACATCTATGCTTTAAAGCTACGTGGCATATCATGAGCAGCACTTCAATATACAGACTGGAGGTGGACTCGTTATCCCCCAGATGTCACTGCCAACAGTTACTACTGGAAGGAAAACAGTTTCTTCACACGAGCACTGTTGTGACACTGTCAGGTACCAGTAGCACAGATCTTCCCCATCACTTTTAGTCATTTCAGATATTCTTCATGTAGAGTATCAAATCACATCACATCATAGAGTTGCGGACTGCCTTGGTATCACAAAGGACTGGTTAGAAGACGTATTACCATAGTGGCAGGGATGGGGGCATCAGGTTTTGGCGTCTGTGATTCTACAAATAGCTTAACTGAGGGCTGAGGCAAGTGAAATACATACATGTACTGATTGTCAGAAATTTGAAGTGCACTACTTGTGCCAAAACTGCTAGGATTTCAGCTGACACTTTGATTTAAACAAAAAAACAACAACAAAAAAATATATATATCTTTGCTACCTTGGCGTACTGTCTTACTGAAATTTAGTGCATACTACTTTGCCTAGAATCAATAGCCATATTAATATTCATGCTGTTATATTGTGGTCCTACAGTTTTACATCACTAAACCCCAGTTCTTCAATATATAGCATTCACACAACTAACCCAAATAAAAGGAAAAAATAAATCAATTAGACTACTTAGATATAATGGAATTTTAAAAATACTCCTGCAGGTCAGGGCATTAGAAAGCCAAGCTTAAAATTAAAATAAAGGGAGAAGAGCAGTGCTGCAAAGCAACAGTAGGTGGCAGAAAGCATCTATTAAAGCATAGTTGGGAATAAATAAGCCAGGGAACTGTCTCAGATGCAAGAATCCCAACAGCATAGTTAGAGAAATGACCTTCGTATTATTTACGCTGTTATCACTCAGGTCGTGATACAGCCTAAAAACAGATCAAATATTCTGTTGCCATGTTCCAAAGGAAACATACGTCTTATTAACATGGCAGAGTTACTACTGCCAATGAAAAAGCCAGATTTCACTGAATTAAAAAAATTATCTAACATGAACCTGAACGATGATGGAAGGGGGTACCCAAATTAAGTATCCAGGTTAACAATACTAATGATAGAAGCCCAGGAAACCAAGATTCCCCAATCAGCACTGATCATCCACATATTAATCCACTCAGAAAGCGGAAATTCAAAGCAATACTGCACATTTAAGTATGAATTCCACCACAGTGACTTGATAACTTAAAAATAAGTCGTATACGAAGTATTAAACAGTACAATGAGATTGTTTTAGAGCTGTAATTTTATGTTTCTCTAAACAATACATTTAGCTGTAACTCTTCACCCGGATTAAAAAAAAAAAACAAACAGTAAGAAAGTGTCCAACACTACATTTATCTAACTGATAAATCATTTTTTTCCTAAAGCCAAGCAAGACTAAATGCATACAGTAATAAGATTATTCAATCTAGCTGTACATGTATTAGATGCCAGCACACTGTGGTTATATTAATCCAACATGGCATTTACTTACGCATTAAGACATAAAAGTAGCATTTGAAAGACTGGTATCTAATGGAGATAACAAATTATAGCTTTAACTGACATAATTAAGAGTTTGCTGAATTAATAAAGACGTTACATAAGCTGCCCAAACTTTCCCCAATTTGTTTTTCCCCCCTTTAATTTTAATAAAATCTCTCTAAACGTTTCTTATTCATACAAGAACAGAACTTAATACAATTTTAAGGGAAAACTATCAACTATATTTTTACGTGTTTGTGATTCCTCAGGCAAGCATTGCAAGCTTTTCTTCATTTGATCAGGAATTCCAAAGAAATGCTGAAACATGCAATTGCAAAAGCATCAATTTCTACGCTTAGAATTCTACATTTTCAGTAAAAGTGGACATGATTTTTTTTTTTTGAAAAAAAAAACCTCCAAAAGAAACAAGAAAAAAAAAAAAGAAAAAGAAAAAAAACAGAATACAGAGACTCCAACTTGAAAAGGTAAATTGAATACTACATGAGGCAACAGAAAACAAGAAATATTAATGGAAATTAGTTCTGATTAGTATACTTCACTGAGGTATCTAACTCCATATTATACTTTAATAAGAACAGTTTAAATTCCTAGAATCTAGTTTTGAAGTTACATTACAAAATAAAAAAAAAATGTAAACAGTATTTATGTACATTCTGCTCCAAAAATGGACTGTAGAAATTCTTTACATTTCTTTTAGAAATACACATAAACCACAGCATACATCAACAATCCACTGGCAATTAAGACAAGACAAATTCAACCTAAAGAAAGTACATGCGTGGAAAGTTTTAATCTATTACTACTTCGGTAATAGCATTTCATGTCCCTTCAGACTACTTTAAGGAATTTGTTCTTGCTCCAACACATCAATGCGGTTGACTTTCTGTGTTGGATGACTACTTGTTACAGTAGGTCTTTCACAGAAAAAGATGAATATTAGCAGTGGGAAATTAGGACTTCAGAAGTTATGAGTCCCGGCATATATACAACATGTAAATCAACTAAAACTGAAGAAAAATAAAAAACAAGGCACCCCTCTGGCGCCTTACCATACGTGTTTCATGGAAAGTTTCACACAGCCTACCCTTTGTCTTACTTCAATACATGGCATTTACATTACCAAAAAATAGCAGACACAACACAACTAGTTTCTTAGACTGTAGGACCGAACGGTTTAAAGCTCTTTTGCCAGTCTAAATGGGAACTCACACCAGGTGCTGCAAGTAACTAAACTCACAGAAATGGATATCAACCTCCATACAACATTTATCATCAGTATTCACTAATAATAGTTTGTTATGCTGCCCTCACACAGATTATCTCACAGAGACCCGAAGCACACATGAATAATTTGTTTAGGAAAAAAGTTAAATGCAGTAGTTTTTCCTACAGACAAATACATTTCACACGAACTAGAAGCTGTTTAGTTTTGGTTATGCTTCAATTAGTTACACAACGTGAAGAAACTACAACTTTCAGTCCTATAGAAATCTGCCCAGACCAGAGTCTTCCTGTTGAACCATTACAGAAGCAACAGCTCACGCATCTTTGTAGAAGCTCACAGTCAATAATGTTTGTATTGTGCACACATCAATTCTGAGAATCTTGTGTTCTGCTTTTTATTTATTTATTTATTTTTACTTTTTTAATGATTGCTCCCCAACTCATTCAGCTGTAAAGTGATTCAAAAGTTACTTTGAAGCGGTTCTTAAGTTACCTGACAACAACATAAAAAAAAAGCTGCTTCAGTAAGGTGATCTTTCAGGCAAATACACCAGAAATCTCATCAGATCCGTGGCATTGAAAGGAGACCACAATTTCCTGAATCAAAGCAGTTTCAGTGAAACAGTCAGGCTCTCAGTCTGGGGACCAGAACTGAACTTTAACAACTACTGTTCTGTATTTTGTCTGAAAATCATGGATGCCAGACACCAAACAACTCTTAAGAGTTCTCAGTACCAAAAGAACAGATGGAAAAGTTAGAGGTATTCAAAGAACTGTGATTATTAGGTTCTCCTATATATATACATATATATATACATATATATATATATACATACATATATATATATAAGATATATATATATATATTTAAAAAAAAAAGAACTTACATTATAATAGTATCAAACTGCATAGCATTACAAAAGAAGGCAACTTGAATGGCTGAAATGAAAAATGTCAATCTTTCTAACTGATTATGAACATTCCGGAATTTATAATAGCAGAGTAGACTGTTGCTAGTAATAACTATAGCCCAATCAAAGTCTGCCTTCATTCCAGAGAATGCAAAAATGATTAATTTGTACAAGTTATTGCATGTTCTGCTTTCATGTCCTCCTAGCAGGTTTTGCTGTTAATTGCTTCTCTCTTTCAAGTTCCTTCTCACGTTGTTGTTCTTGTTCTAGTTCTTCTTTCTGCCTCTTTTGTTGCAGCTTAAGTGCTCTTTTCTAAACAGAAAATAAAAGTTTTATGGCTGTATTTAATTTGGAACTGTAAACAGCATCCCTCCCATTCTCTTAACATTCTCTTCTCCAAAAGCAGTAAGTGAAAAAAGCAGTAAGTGAAAGTTTAAAAACATACATGGTTTGGTGCTACCAAAAACATGGGAAAAACATTTTAAGAATGGAATTTAACATAGATTCTATTTTCATCAGAACTGTGAGCATGCATCCAAAATAAAAGTTGAGTCAATATTACGTAATTTAAAAGCTATGTTACAAAGTAGAAAAGTTACCCCACTCACTTTTAACTTGGATGTCTTCTCATGGAGCATCATCATTTCGTTTCTAATACTCACTAACTTGCTGTGATAGTGTTTAGCTTCTGAAAACTTTAAAAACATAACAGTTAAGGTAGTGACTGTCAAGTTGGAATAGTTTGGATTTTTTAATAAAGCTACACATGAAAACAGCAATCACAAACATAGCAATTACCACAACAATTTGATAATGGATTAAACATATTCAAATTTTTATATACAGTTTACGTGCATCAATACAGAAAGCCACCGTATCCCAACAGGTACACCTGGTAACCTACTGAATTAATATTCACTAGAACAGAAAAAAAGTCTTGCCAATTTATGCTCCACACAACAGTGTCTCAAGCATCCTTCCTGCTAGTCTGGAGATGTGCACAAAGCTCACCTCAGTCCTGCTGGAAAAAATGCATTTGCTTTGGCTATTGGATTTGAACTAGACTTACTACCACTGGCAGACTGAGTTTGTTCTTTCCTCCCAGTGCCTTTTCTATTTAATGAAATCATGCTGGTTCTGCACCCATCTCTAGGAGGAATTTATCTCGTATCTGCACTGGTTGGTAACCTTCCTGTAGGTCATTAAGAACAATAAAAATATAAAAATATACAAGCTGCTCCTTGGGTAGGAGGAGAATCCATACTAGTAGAGATTTAGAAAAGCATTTATAGTACTTACCAAGGCATCGACATCAAGAATGTAGTTACATTCTTTGAATTTTGTAATTTCTTGTTCTAATGTTTCTAGTAATACTACTTGGTTCTGTCTGAAACAAGAAAAGATCCATAAAACCAGAGTAAAGCAGCAGAGACAAGGAATGTAAGGATATACTGCGTAAGACAAATTTTCAGAGCACTTATTTCTAGCTCAGTAAATCAGTAACTTCCATGATGGCAAGCTCTTGTAGCATTATACAAAATTCTCTCTAAAGTTTAAGTATTTTTTTTCAACTAGTCCTTTAAATAAATACTGGCTTTGATCATAGAGGCATAAATACATGCTTCTCAGTATCAGACTCTTATGGATTGCCAGCTGATTTCAGTAACAATACAAGTCAATGTTTTTTGCAAAACCCCAGTCAAGCACACACAAAATCACCTTTTTGCTACCTAACATTATACAGGATGATAAGAAAACCAGGATGAACATCTGAAAACCCTGGATGATATAGGCACTAGGCAGGCTGCAGTGACTAAACAACCCTTTGGGAGGTGAGGTTGAATGTGGGGAGAACCTATTAGCTCTTGACTTTCCACTCAGTTGCCTCTGAGTCATGCTGCAGAATGAAGTTATTTCTGTATGGAACTTGTGTGGATCCATGGTGCTTATTAAAAATCTTCTAGCCCACACAAATCAGCTAAATTCTTCTCAGACACAGGCTGTCCTTGACAGGCGCACATTATGCATCAGGAAACTCAAATCAATGTACCCTAAAGACCTGAGATGGCTCTATGTAAAGCCTTCTCCAGCAACATTGCCCCTATGGCAGGTCCAGTCTGCATTTGAAATAAGCTGCTCTCAATTATCAGCGAGATACCAATATACAAAACATCCCTATCAGCTTAGCGACTTAACTGTGTTTTCTTGGTGCATCTTTTGCAACACAGTTTAAAGACTGGACAACAAGCAATATATAGCACAAGCTACTTTCAATATGAAGGTCATCACGGCAAACAAAGTTTATATTTTTTGGCAGACTTTCCACTATAGAAGTGAACAACTACATAAGATACTTGCACGTCTTCTACTATGTCTGGCTCAGAGGATTTTGGTGTCATATGTTCTTCAGTCAGATTTCCAATAGGCAACATCACTACTTATACACCTGCGAGTACTCCTGCATATCACTTAACTATCCAGAACATCACAGTTGGAATACCACAGTGCTACTACCAAATATTTCAATTAAGGACTGCTAGAACATTGCACTGAAAAAAAAAAAGGCAAACCAGTATGTTTGGAGCTGCTTTTAAAAACTTGCTTACGTAAGTTCATGTAGAGCTGATTTTGATCGCTGAAGATCAGGCAAATAATGAGAAATCAATCCTTCAGTTAACTGCTCCACAGCTTTCTCATCTATTATAGGCAGATCTTCTACTACTCCTTCATCTGGAGATGCATCACTGGAACCTACACAGGGAGGAACAAGGGTGAATGGGGTAAGTCAGCATTTACTAAGTTTCACCTACAGCAATTGCATTTTCCTGGTTAAGAATTAAAGGCATTTCAGCCTCAAGTTGTAGCTCTTCACCCTTTATCTGCTGAATGGTGCTTCTTGTTCCCTCCCTTTTCCCTTCCTTTTTAACCTCCCGTTGTTCACAGCCCTGTATCACAAGCTTCCTGGTGTGTGGTTATCCCACAGCTGAACAGTGAGAAAATGGGCAGAGGGAATGAGAATATTCCAAAAACACGTTGTTAAACAGTGTTAAATACTAAAACGTACTGAGGAAAACAGAGAGGGACTGCATCAATTATTTGGGCTATGTACGAAGAATAACCTAAACAGGAATGCACGTCTTGCCCTCAAGGTTAGCGAGCAAACCTATATCTATATCTATATATATTATTTTTTTTTCAGAACTGCCTTCCTAAAAGCCCCCTGTAGACATCACTCCCGGACCCGCAGCCCAGGCCCCTACATCACCGCCGCCTAGCTCCTTCTCCGGGCCGCCCGGGGCCGGTGGCCGTGCCGGAGCTGCGGGTGGGTGGGCGAGCTCCCGGCCCCGCCGCCCCCCTCACGTACCCAGCGGCCGCTCGGGGCCGCCGGCGGCCGCCACCGCCGCCTCCTCCCGGGGCCACCCCGCGCCGCTCATGGCTGCCGCACCATAGAGTCTGCACAGCTCCGCCCGCCTACAAAGGCCGCACCATAGAGTCTCCGCAGCCGCGCTGGGCTAGAGGGGCCGCGCGGGGCCGGGCTGAGAGGAGCCGTCCCCTCAGCGAGGCGGCGCAGCGCGCTGGTAGCGGCGTGCGTCTCAGAATCACACAGAATCACAGAATTTCTAGGTTGGAAGAGACCTCAAGATCATCGAGTCCAACCTCTGACCTAACGCTAACAGTCCCCACTAAACCATATCCCTCGTCAGGGTCTCGTCAGGGTCGTGTTCACCTTTGTAGCGCGATGGCAACTGTGGCGCTGCCACCTGATTAAAAACACACCTGCTTTCCCTTCTTGTTCCGTTTTTGTCTCTTGTTCTGTGTGCACATTAAAAAATAAACATGGCCCGAAGTCGGGCTGCACCCACGGGACACTGCCGTTGAGCCTGAACCAGCTCGTTAGGTCAGCCTGCTTAGCAGTGTTACTTACAGGTGTTTGTCAGTGGGAAAAAAGAAACTTTCATGGCAAGTTTTGGGGGGAAGACACTTCTCAGCTCGCAGAAGTGATTCCTAGGAAGAACAAGTGAGATCATCATCCCGAAACAGGCACACGTGAGGCGTGGGAGTTTCAGATTTGTGCTGTTGCTTTGCCTGTTCCAGGCCTCCCACACCTCACAGAAATAGACTGACGATTGGAATTTAAAACTGGTATCTGTGTCTACAGCACTTAAAATGTAGCTAGTTATCAAACCAAATACTGCAGAATCAAAGCACTGGAAATTCTGTTACAAGTTTTGGGGCAGGAAGTAATAGCTTCCCAGGTTTGTTACCAAGTTCATTATCCTGTGAAGGGCTAATGAGGATTTCTTCTAATAGATAACGATATTTGAAAAGGAAGCTAAGTGAAACCTATAATGAAGAACATAAATGGTTGGTTGAAAATGTGATACATGGAGTAATAATTCGTGTCAAGAAAATGGTTGATAATGAAAAAGAGTTTAGAGGGAGCAAAGAAGGGGTATTCAGGAGACGCCATGCCCTCTGGGGTTGCTTGTTCTCCAGCCGTTAAGGCATGGAAGTTGCTGGGTGTTTGCTGTTGCCGGGCAAAGTTGTGTGACCGATGATAAGTTGTTTTGAAAAGGACTGCTGTGGGGTGAAGGGTATAAGAGGGGAGCCTGTCCTTGAGGTGCAAAAAGGCAACAAGATATAATGGAAATTATGTCATCAATAAAGAAGTAGAAAAAAGGAAAGAACAGGGACAGGCTAGCAGAACAGAGACTAGGAAGGGAACAGGGACATACATTGCCTCATGAAGACAGGTTCGGCCAAACTCAGGAAACTGCTCAAAGAAGCTTGTACAGAAAATTGCTGGAAATAGGCACTGGAGCTGGGAAGAAGCTCAAGCTGAGAGAAGCGGAGCCGCACACACAACTGCCCCTCACTGGTAAGCAGTTGCGCATTATGGGGAATCATACGTCCTTAGGAACAAAGACTGTCCTGGCAACCTTACAGCTTATTCTCTTTATTAACAATCAGACAGTTTATGATCCTGAAATATGGGGCCAAACTGAGGTCAAGGTGTGGGACTTGTTATAAGTTGCCCCCTTAATTAATTTTCAGAGAGCATTGCATTAATAATAGAAAGGAATTTATTGAGTAAGCAACAGCAAGCAAAACAGCGCTGGGCGGCCGGGGAGTCTCAGCTCCACCAACGGCACGCACCTCACCCCCGCCAGGGTCCCTTTTTATATCTTGGTAATTCCAGGATTACGCAGCACATGCTGGTATATTCTGCGACTGCGCGCACTGTTGCTAGGGGGTCGTCTCTGTCCCTCTGGTGGTCGTGAAGATGAAGGCCGTAGTCTTCCTTGGCGTTGTGGTTCAACTTCTTTTTTTTATTTGGTCATGTTGGCCCAGCGTGAGACAGGAAGGCAGGATGTTGATACACTAGTTGAGCAACTTATCAGGAGATGGTTACACGAGCTTTGCAGCAGTGTCTTTGAACAAAAGAGGCAACTGAGATGCAGAAGGAGAGAGGGGGGGGGGGGCGTTCTCTTTTTTGTTACATTAAGCAAAAGAATTTTCATAGTGTCTAGCCAAGCATTATACAGCTTCTTATTTCAGCAGGGAGCTTTCGCAACTCCCGCTCCTCAAACGGAACTCCTTGTTTTTATAATACAAAAGACAATGAACAAACATTTATTGTGTATTACAGGACTCTGCTACTAAAAACGACAAGGTTGTGGTGGGATTGCTCAGCACCTGGAGAGCAGTCTCTGAGGCCTTAAAGAGCCATATGGGGCCACAGTCAGACACGTGCGGTTTGCCAAACAGTGAGGGAGCTGCAGGCTCATTTACTGATCCGACAGCTATGCCATCGGCCCCCCCGCTGCTGCCATCACAGGCCTTTGCTGTTATGCCCCCTGTTGACCTGGACGTGCCTTTTGACCCAGGCCCTATTGGCCTTGAAAAGGAGATGGAAGTGTTTCCCTTCAATCTGGGAAGAACAGGATACATAAGGCCCGAAGGCCGAATTGCTTAACAACTTAACGCGAGACGTTGTTCCCACGACTAGCCCTGGAATTCTCCGGTGTTTGTAATCAAGAAAAGGGATGGAAAATGGAGACTGTTAAGTCATGGAAGATATGGGAGCACTTCAACCAGTGTTATCAACTCCAACTATGCTCCCCCAGTCATGGACATGTTTTAATTGATACCTTTTCTGATTGTACATATGTATAGGTGTACTCAGGTTTAATATGTAAAAGCAATGTTCTGTATATTTAGAAAGCTCGATGTTCGTGTGTATGTGTTGGTAGAGCGTAGACTCCCCACGCACCTAGTGCTGTTTACTTGCCCTTTATAAATATTACCAAATTCAGTTGAGTTGTATTGTCATTTATAACAAAAAGCATACTTACCTGCTGGTTTAAATATTTAGTTTCAAGGAGTTGTGGAACAAACAAACAAACAAACAAAAACAAACAAACAAACAAAAACTAATATTACTGTTTTTATCTAAAAATAGGATACTGCACAACAACAACCCCCCATGACCCATGGAGCTGTATGTACAATAAAACAGCTTTAATTAATCATAAGGAAAATCATGCTGAGGATATCTCTGTATAATTAGGTCAATCGGTCTTTTAGTCCCTAGATAGCAGCTGAGGTACAGAAAGGAGACTACAAAGAACCTAAAAGGAGACTACAAAGAACCTACAAGCTGATTGCACTTCTACCCATCCAGGGGCAATGTTTGTGAATCTGTGTTTAATATCCTCATACGCTTGTTGTCTTTCTCTCTGTCCTCCAGTCTCTGTTGGATTCCTGCACTTACTTGTTGCTCTTAATCCCACAGCAATGCAACATTTACTTTCTATCTCCAGATGCTTGTCTGAAGTTTGTATACAACTTTCTAGCTTTCTTTTTGAGGTTTTAGCCTCCCAGCAAGATTGCAGGCTCATATGCTAGCAAGCTGTTAAATTTTGGACTACTGACCACACAAGTGCCACTGTACTATATGTCAATGTAACACCAAATAATCAAGGCTGCTTTTCAGCTGCATTGTGGCAACTGTGTTCAGAAACTTTTCGTGTAACACTCACCTACACATTCTGGATTTTATTGTTTATTGTAACTGATGTAAGCACACCTACATGGAAAGTAACTCCCCCCACAGAAATCTGAGTAAAGCTAGAATAAATTAGCTTGAGTTGTATAGCAAATAGTATGTTTGAAGCTGTCAGCTTTGAAAGTGCTGTATGACTTCAGGGATGACAGCATGAAAATGAAATACTTTAATTAATATGTTACTTCTTAAGAACTCTCTGTCCTGATTAAGTAAACATGACTACAGAGAGGGTACAGCCTTACTGTCATAATAAATAAATGGAGTAAAACAGGGCACTACAAAAAGCTCTGTTCAACAGAAGTTCGTCTTGATAACACATGACTTGATTCTTGACAACACTTCAGAAAAATCTGGTCATAGTTATTCAATGACAGGCAAACTGGCAAGCCCTGGTGCACTGCTGAGGGCAATAAGTCTCCCCAGCCAACTGTCCTTCCTCAGCGCTAGATATTTCTGTCCCTGCAGGAGGGGCAGCAAAATGGAGCACGAACCCACTCTTCAATCCCCCAGTACAAAGCCACATTTTCAGACACAGTTTTATAAGCAGTGGGTTTAGCAGTTGACTTTCCCTCTCCTCCCTGGCTGGTCATTCATGCTTGTGTGCCCTCTCGCACTTGTGCTGGTTCAATTGGTAAAACACAGTGAGTTAAATGACTCAGAGAGGAGCACAAGAACATTAAGAACAGTTGAACTGGAACATACCTGGGAGTGTTTTCTCAGGCACCAATGCTGGCTTAACAGGGTCCCAGCTTCGACTGCTCATTCTGACTCCCGCACTGCTCACCGCCCCCTCAGTTGACATATGGAAGTCTATGCAAATTGTGATCATGGAAACAATTTCAGCTACACATACAAAAATATCTCACCCCCCTCACATCATATTTTTTAATTCTGGCCCATTTCAGGAACCCAATTCATTTTGTGGCCCCAAAGCTTTCATGCTGATAACCCTGCTAGGGAATTATGAACTGGGTGAAAGGCGCAGGGGATGGCACCTCTTTATCCACCTGAGGAAGAGTGACATGAGATTATGTGCTCAGGAAAATGAACCTACCATAATATAACAAAGCGTAGTAGTGTTTATTTTTGGAGAACATCACTGCAGAGAACAACAAGGCTCAATTACCACAATCGTGTCCTCTCCGGCAGGGTCTGTTCCAAGCAGGTGCTTGCTCCAAGCTCTGCAGAGCTGCCCGAGCACTCCAAGGTGTGCCAGAATCTGCTCTCAGCCCTTGCGCAGAAAGGGAGTGCCTTTCTCCAAAATCTAGCAGTTTTACACAACTCTGATCTAGGCAACTTCCTTCAGCTAGGTCAAAAAGAGGATATGCTCTTACCACTTGGGCATATGAAATGCTTATCACTCAGGAGCCTGACAGTAACAACATTTAGCCCTGGGTACAAACTGGTCCCAAGTATTGTAGGCTGGCAATTAGAAGAACATGTGTAGCT